ATTCCTGCTTCCCTGCCTTTTGCTCACTCTATTCGAGCCGTAGTGGCCCCTCTGCAATTCCTTGAACCAGTTAGAAGCCAGACATAGCCTTATTTCAGGGCTTCATGTTTTTTGTTCAATCTTAAACACCTTTACCCTGACAGTCATGTGACTATCTTTCAGGTCTTTATTAAAATGTCACTTTCTCAAACAAACTTCCCATAACTAACCAATAAAATAGCTGCTCCTCTCATCACTTCCTAACTCCCTGAACCGGCTTTATTTTTTCCTCCTTTTGACATCAATTATGTGCTTTAATTAAGCATAACTACCTCTTCTAGATTTCAAGCTCTAGGAAGGCAGAATTTTCTGTTTAGTTTACTGAAGAGAAATCAAAGTCAGACTTGCGGTACTGAAATAATAATGAAAAGAAAGAAATGAAGAATGAAGTTTTAGTGATTAATCTGTATCTGTCTGATTCATATGAATAGATGAAGACTAATCCCAAAAAGGAAGCACATCATAAAAAGGAGACTATTCCTAAGAAGGATTTTTTTGTTTGTTTGTTTGTGCAAAAGGGCATATGCATTTGCCAGAGAGAGACAGGGAGACAGAGTGAGATAGGAGAAAGCACCTCCCAAGGGGAAGGGTCACACTACAATCCCTTCTCCTCTCTCTCTCCCTCCTTTTGGGATTTTGAGAACGTGAGCACACACTGCTGGCATGTTTCTCAAGCTACCTTTGTCTGGTATTCGACTGCCTTGTCTCACTCTCCCATTACAATATCCCTGCTATATACAGTTGTCTTCCAGAAGAGTTACTGAAAAAGTGATACATACAAGTAAAGGGAGAGAGGCCACAAGTTCCAACCATCAGCTCATAAAGTTTTTGGTAATAGGGAGCATAAACTCCACTCAGGGTTGGATAAGGAAGGGTCTCCGGCAGATCCACAAGTGTAGGTGAGGCTCCAAGGAATGCAGTTTCAGGAAAGCAGTTCTGGTACACAGGGATAATTATCAGCTGATGCGGCACAGCAGTCATCTTGTAGTTACCAGGAATGGTGTTGTGGGGGTCTGCAGCGCCCCCGGAATGGAGGGGCGCCGGCCAGGCCGTTCCCGGCGCGCAGCTGCGCTGGGGGGGGGGCGTGAGCCCCCCCTACATATATTGAAACATCACACTAGGGACCAACAGATGGTGTAAGGGTTACATTGCTGGGCTCCCACGTAGTCGACTATGGTTTGAGTCTCAGACCCAGTGGCTTAAAACTCATGCTGGGAGCATGTGCATGCATGCCCAAAATCTGAGAGGAGAATGGAATAGGGATTGTGGTGTGGCCATACCCCCAGGGGGTGATTTATTGCTTTCTGTCTCTCTGGCAAGCACACATGCCCTATAGCAAAAATCTCTCTTAAAAAATACATGGTGTCCATCATACTGTACACTATAAATATGTCTAATTACTATAGGCCAGTTATAGATAAAATAACTAAAATCAAGGCAAAGACATTTGAAATTATTTGTCAGAAAGCAGGAAACTTTTAGGTTATCTTAGATATAATTTCCTAGAGACCCTTCATCCTTAAGTACAGAGGCTAGATCAACAAGATCTTATTCTCCCCTACCATTACTGATTATTATATCCTCCAAGTTAGTGTGTTTCTCTTTTTTACCCCACTTTCTCTTAAATATGGGGGTAGGCTATGGTTATTTTATATTGACTCACTGCTCTGAGTACTAGAAAAATGGGAAAATTTTATGGTCTTCTTTCAGTGAAATCAGAGTTAAAATAAGCTGAAAATGAGTTACCAGCAAACTATAAATTTCTAGTGACACAAAACCTCAGAGCTGTGTAATATTTTTATATCAAAAAATCAACTATTTGCCTTCCTGAGTCTAGATATCTGATGGGAACTGAAAGTCTTGATCAGGTTTAGCAAGTTGAGTGGAAGTAAGAGACTGAAAACACAACAAAGAGAAAACCTTAGGTTTGTAGAAATAATCTAGTCTTGAAATAGTCTAGTTTTTAATTATGCTGGGTTATGGCAAAGAAAGTTTAACATAGTATACTACTAAAATAGAGTAGGGATAATTAGAGCAAGGTCTTCATTTTGAACAGATTTTCTACATAAATCGTAACGTTACTTAGGATGATAGCTCAAGTCAAGCAGAAGAAGCTGTGAGCTGGCTTTTCAACCCTCAGCTCCAGTTAATGGATCTTATCCCAATTGTTAAGACATGGAACTAACTCAAATGCTCATGAAGATATGAATGGATTGAAAACATGTGGCATATATACTCTATGGACTACTACTCAGCCATAAAAAAACAATAAGACCCTATCTTTTGACAAAAAGTGGATGAATATGGAAAATTTACTGCTGAGTGAAGCAAGTCAGGCTATGAAGGAGAGACATTCTATGTCTCCACTTAACATATACTGAGTGTCCACACTCCATGGCTGAAACTAAACGACTAAAGGATATAGAAACATAGTAAATGGTTATAAATACCAAATACAGTGTGGGAAGAGGGTGGGTAAAGGAGTAGAGTATGGGGAAGGACATTAAAGAGAAAAATCGACAGACAAGTCATTTATGAGACAAAGAAATAGGTTATCTGTTGAAGATAATTTTATAATCTTGACTGGTGAAAAATGTACACATGTTGGAATATTCACTTTGCAGCTAAGTAACATGAGATTGAATATATAAAAGAAATTGAAATTAAAAACTAAAGGACAAATTACCAAAAACCTTATATACCTTATACTATCCTATAAAATATATTTGTCATTGGTAGTAAATAAATGTGTGTTGAATTTGTGCAGCCAACTTTTCTCAGATGTTCTGATTATCATTAAGAGTCAGATAAGTGTTGGAAATAGTAACTAAGATATTAACAGATTGCCAAAGAGGATGTGTGGAGATTGTCTATCACATATCTTAAAATAGAGTTTTTGCATGTGAGTAAAGAATAACAGTCTGAATTTGGCATTGGAAAGTGTAAGAAGAATGCAAGCTTCTGGGGAGAAGAGAGAGTAGATGAGGAAGAATTTGCTACCTCCAATTAAGGGGGATTGCTTGGAAATAGTATCTTTGTGCAATACCCAGATTTGGTGTAAAGCAAACTGATAAAGGAAGAGAGATAATGAGTTAAAAGGGAGGAAGGGCAGATCAATATAAGGATGAGGAAAATAGGAAAGACTAGTAACTGTAGGTACTTATATTATATATTTTACTAGGAAGTAAAAAAAATAAGGAGATGGGTTGAAAGTAACAAGATTGGTTGAATGAACTCATAATTCCAAGTGGAATCTGGTACAAAGATTTCAGTGTAAAGCACTCAGAGGCTCCAGATGTGTCTATTCAAGGTTTCCAGAGATAATAGCTTTTATATGAAGCAAAGTCAGGTGCAGGCTGCTGCTCCAGGTGCTGTCTGCAGCCATGTCAGCATTGAACAGAAAGTTCCAGACAGAATGTGGAAAAGAGTGCAAAGTATTTGGAGAAGCATCAGTTTGGCCCAGAGTCCTGCACCCAGCTATATGTCTCCCAGAGTACTGACCCACCCAAAAATGCATTAGTAGAAGGCTGCTATTCAGCAAATGCTTAAGTCAGGACGAGTTCATTTATTGCATTAGGTTTTGTTAGTTTTTCAGCAGCCTGGGTTATAAGAATGTGACTTTTGCAACAGAGAAATTTTAGAAGTCAAATAGACCCCAAGATAGTTTCTGCAAGGTCAAACCAAGGCATTTTAGGCCCATTGCAATTGAAAGGGATGAAATCTAGGAAAGAGAACCTCAAAGGCACATATTGAAGTGAAAGCTTTGTCAACTTTCACCATTTAGTGAAAAATCTGACCCATAATTACACTCCTATGATTTCCAAATGACTGTTCTTTGTTTTCGTAATTGGTAAATTGTGAGTAGGTGGGCAATACTTCTCAATGATTGGAGCTTTTGGCATTTTGGACAAAAAAAATTATGTCCAAAATAATTGAGGTCTGCCTCTTGGATTCCACACCACTAACTTTCTCGGCCCCTGTTACCCAATGCAGGTTGCATATCTTGGTCATTTTGACAGCTAAGCATACTCCCATGTTTCCAATGTTCTTTAGGGGGATTCTGTCGCCTCTGGTTGGTATAGATCTCGGGAAAAATCACCTGGGAAAAAATTCCAACCTCCTCAGATTTCACTGAACCTGCATTTTTTTTTTTTTTTTTAAAAAGAGGTTTTTGTCTTAGGGTGTGTACACCTACCAGAGAGACAGAGACAGAGAGAGAAAGACGGTGAGAGTAAGGGAAAGTAAGAAATCAGCCTCCACAGGGATGGCCTTACAGCAATCCCTTCTCTATTCTCCTCCCAAGATCTTGGGCATGCAAGATCACACGCACCCCAGCATGAGTTTCAAACCACCAGATCTGAGACTCAAACTGCAGTTTCCATGTGGGAGTCCAGCAATGTAACCTGCTCACCCCTGAACTCACATTTTAAGAGCAGTGGTTTTCTGGAGTTTTCTTCTGTCTCAATTACAATGAAGACCATGAATTTTGACTTCACCATGACTTCTGAATTCACTATAAGCAGAAGCTCCTGAATTTATTACTGACTCAATTTTATAATGAATAGTGACATTTCAGTGCCAGTAAAACTGATGCTGTTTTATTCCCCCGTTGTCCTTTCAAATATTGCGATTTGTGGCTCTCACATTTCCCTGTAGCCCTTCACCTATCTCTGGGCACCCGAAGACATCTTTATGGATCTGTTACACACTCCCACCGGTAGAAGGATTTCGTTTTTTCCTTTGACAGACACATCACAGACACAGTTTAAGAAAAACCATTTCTACTTAATCTACCTTTTCCACACTCCAGGACAATACTAATCCTGGGAGGGGGCAAGTGCGGAGATAAGAAGAAGGAATAGCTGAGCTAACGCTGTAGAGGAAGCCCTAACTGGCCCTCCACTGTGATTGCCTTTTCAACTTAACCACACCTGTCAATCTTTTTGATGTTTGAAATCCAAAGCCAAAACGTGGTGGATAGGGAATATGATTTGGTAGATGGTAGGAGTGAGAATGGAAAATTGGTATGGGATTGTTTTCCTCTCAGTCTTGGAGTGCTGTGCATGAAGTCAGCATGTTAGCGTACGTGGAGGTCTGCCTTTTCCTCAAACCATCAATGAGTGGAATGCTGTTAAAGCAAGGTCTCTGAGATTTCAGGAGGGCTGCTTTTGAGAATCATATATGTATACGGGAGGGAGGGCTCACTCCTTGAGAATTCCGAGTGGCTCTTCTACTTGACCTTCCACTTTTCCTTCCATACTGGGTCTTCAAGGCACCTTCCTTCTTTATTTCCTTACTTCCTTTTACTAGAAGGCAAATGTACTTGGAAGAGACAAAGAAAGCACTAGTGGGGTGTGGTCATGCCACAGTCCCTTCTCCATTCTGTCAGGATTTTTGACAAGCAGTCACACACATCAATGTATATTTCAAGCTGCAGGGGCTGGGATTTTAATTATAGTCAGCCATGTGGAATCTGACTCCCTTAAGCACTAGGCTTTAGGGCCAGCTCTGAGGCTTCTTTTAATATTCTACCCATGGATCTACAACTCATTTCCTATTACCTTCCTCATCGCTCTTTTGCCATCTCTGGCAAATGTGTTACCCACTCTACACACTCTTCCCCCCAACAAATGTGCCTTTTGCCCCTTCCACAACCTGACAAGTGGGGTCTCCCTCTGCTAATCCCACTTTTCTCTGATCTCTTCTGTGTTCTGTTCCTTTCAGTCAGAACTTACTGTTTAATTCCATGTTTGAAGGGATTACTTGGATTTACCATCATATTTGCTCACCTATTGAAAGTATCTACTCCCTAGATCATTTGCAATGTGCACATCTCAGAAGTGAGACCAATGCTGTACATGTGTCATACTTCTGTACTAAGGGCTCAGCCCCAGAGCTCAGTAAGGTTCTAAGTCATGGGAGGTGCTCAGTGATGCCATAGAAATACAGGCATGTGGAGAAAAGACTTTCTTACCCTAATCAGGTTAAAAAAGAATTTTAAAAAGGTCTATGCATGCTGTTAGGCATTGCCAGCTCACCTGAGTCAGATACAGCAAGGTAACTTGGGACTTGGTTCTGCAGAAAGAGGCAGTCCTTTAGCACTCAACTTTGTGTGTCTCTCCTGGCAGGAAGATGAAGTGGTACTCCAGTGCATCGCAAATATTCATAAGGAGCAAAGGAAGTTCTGCCTGGCAGCTGAGGGACTTGGGAATCGCCTCTGTTTCTTGGAGCCCACTTCAGAAGCCAAGGTGAGATTGACAGCCTACCCTGCACCTTTCCCTTTGGCCTCCCAAAAAGGCTGCTGAGAGAAAGTGAGGAGGAAGCATCCTGAAAGGACCCATTGACTTTTAAAATGGAAAGCAGATGAGACTGCAACATTACTCTCCCCCAGCCATTGTTGAAGTAGGAACCCAGGGCAATGTGAAGACTTAGAGATATTCTTGTCTGCTGGTGTTGCCCATGACTCCAGGGACATCTTGAGCTCACTCTCAGTGCTGACCTAGGAGTTCTGTTAATACTCTCACAACGTCTTTTTGTTGTAGTTATTAATTCCTAAGAATCTGAGTGTGCATTCTCTAGTCCCAGCTGTCGTTTTATTGCTATAGGGATTCATGAATGCTTGAGCCTATGTTTCAAAGCGAGCATAGCCCTTTCAGTTCTATGTTGAGATTGTTGCAACTGTCTGCCCGCTGTGACCTAAGGGCAGAGAGGAACATTTGTTCTGGTCTCTGCTTGTATAGTGGCATGTAACAGCTTATGTCTTCTGCTAAAGTTTTCTTCTTCATTTCAGGCTGTCTGCATTTCATGATATGTGTGTCAAGTGGATCTGTGTACTCAGCATTCTAGCAGCACTTTGCTGTCCTGGCAAGATCTCTTATATCAGTCAGAGTTCTCCAAAGAAATAAAACCAATCTGGTGGGTGGATAGGTGGATGGATGGATAGACTGAGATTTCTTTTTTAAAAATTGGCTCATGTACAGACCAGCAGATGGCATAATGGCTATGTCGCTGGACTCCCATGTAGTCTGCTGTGGTTTGAGTCCTAGACCCGGTGGCTTAAACTCACACTGGGCATATATGTGTGCATGCCCAAGATCCTGAAAGAATGGAGGAGAAGGGATTGCGGTGTGGCCATCCCCACCCACCCCCCACCCCACCGTGGGGGTGATTTCTTGCTTTCTGTCTCTCTATCTGTCTCTGTCTTTCTGGCGAGCACATGCACCCTATAGCAAAAACCTCTTGAAAAAAAAAATTGGCTCATGCAGTTGCGGGTTATAGGAAATCTGAAATCTGTAGGTCAGATCAGCTTGCTGGAAGCATAAGCAGGAGTTAATGCTGTATTTTTTTTTTTTTTGTCTAAAGAATTATTCATTTTAAGTTTATTCATTCATTTATTTTAATTTAATGAGAGAGAGAGAAAGAGAGAAAGTGAAAGTGAGAAAGCAAGCAAGCCACCAGATCTGGGACTCAAACCATGGTCTGCCATGTGGGAGTGTCCAGCGCCTTAACCACCACACCTCCTGCTGTTGCCCCAAATGCTGTATTCTTCAAGTAGAACTTTTTCTCTAGGAAACATTAGTTGTTACTCTGAAGGCCTTCAACTGATTGGATAAGGTGCATCCAAGTTGTCAAGAGTAATCGGCTTTACTTAGTCACCTGATTGTGGTTGCTAACAATACCTTCACATGGAAACCTAGATTGATGCTCAGTTAAATAATGATACTGTGGTCTAACCACGTTAATGCAACCAACCCTCACTCTTTAAGCTCAATCTTTTTTCATAGACTCTCTTTTTCTTAATAAAAATGATTTTACTTTCCAAAAGGCCTACCTTTCAGCCTGTCATTTTCCATGTAAATATATGCAACACAGACTAACATGTGGAGTTTGGCAGAGTCCAAGAACACCAGATGTGCGAAGTGATGGCTTTGTCTTCTGGAAGCCCCTCTTCTTTACATCACTGCTTCTCTCTCCCATGTAGGTCACTGGTCCCCAAGGACAGATGTCACATCAGCCAGTACTGACAGGATAGAGTCCCATTAGAGTAAATGGCAGAGAAGAGAGATAAGGAAGATTTTTATCTTTTTAAAGGTCTTAGACTTGATTTCCCTGAGGCCTTTTCTTGTTTCCGTTTGTTCTTAGCTGGTATTTTACTTTTCATCCCTGGCAGTCTGGGATAATAGGAAGATCATTAGATTACAAGTCAAGAAGTTAATTCTCAACCATTAACTAGTCATGGAACTATGGACAAATTATTCAACCTAATTTTCAGTTTTTCATCTGTGAAATGAGGTGCAGTATGCTACAGAATTAGAAACTGGGCAATACCATTTTCTAGTCATCCATTAAACAACGTATGGAACAGATTCAGGAATTGAACTCAGAGTGTGAATCCTGTCTCTACCACTTTCTGGCTAAACAAGGTTCTTGATCAGGGTTTCTCACCTTTTAAGCTTAGTTTCCCTGTCTGCTCAATGGAAAATTTGTTCTTAGGGTTAAATGAGTTAATACATGTGAATTGTCTCGCATATATGAATTACTTAGCACATTGTAAGCGCCATTTAACTATTGGCTATTATGATTTCATCTTACGGAGATATTTAAACTAAGGCAGTTTCTTGATCTGTAAAACAAGGATAACTAATAACTTTTCACAAAAACTTTGAAAATAAAGAAAAATAATATATATGTGTGTGTATATGTGTATGTGTGCATGTATGCACACATAAAGCGCATGTGTGTATATTTATATATACACACATATACAATGTATATACTACTGAACCTAATACAACACATTAATAAGAGTCAATAATACTCAATAAAATATTATCCTTTTTAATTTATAAAATCTGACTTTTTTCTTAAAGGCAGAAAGATCATGGATTAGCACTGAACTTGTAAAGTCTTAAATTTTAAGATGAATGCCTTAGATTAATGATTTATTCAACTATAAAAGTTGCATAATTCTGTAAATGAGGCTTTGTATTTATAATTGTTTTTCCAAGCCAGATTAGAAACAACTGTATACTGTGACCTAAGAATGCTTTGTCTTCCCCAGGTATAAAATGATAAGCCATACTCATAATGCATTAGGGATGAGAAAAAGCCTCCCTTATGCCTACATGACTAAATGAATATTCTTTGATTTCTTTTTATTCCAAATTTAACTCAGAATAACAAAACTAAAGAATTTTAAAAGATACATGTCATATATATTTTTATCATCTTACCACATCTATTTCCATTTTTCATTCTAGTCTGTGTCCACATGCATGGGTAGTTTTCAAAGTGGTGCTCACAGTAGTTATTCAAGCATTTCAGACTTTTTTATTTTGCTATGTAATCTTCATATTTTTTTTTCTAAATCAATATTTGTGACTTTATTGTTTTATTTTAGCTTCATGGGATAAATGTCTAGGAGAAGAATTAATAGTATCAGGAATATAAACAGTATTAAATTGCTTTTTCAGAAGGATATACCAGTTGTTACACTATTATTGCATGTGTGTCTCTTTTATATGTACTATGAGGAAAGTGCACCATGAGGGTTCTCCCAAAAATAGAGTCACATTCAGGGAACTAGCAGTTAGCGTAATGGCTATGTCGCTGGACTCCCACGGAGTCGACCGCAGTTCGCGTCCCAGACCCGGTGGCTTAAAACTCACACCAGGCGCGTGTGCGTGTGTGCCCAAGATCCCGAGAGGAGAATGGAGGAGAAGGGATTGCGGCGTGACCATCCCCTCTGGG